AGGGAAATGGCTAAGAAGGAGAGAAGGCAGAGGGAAAGCAGGCTCACAGTCTTCCAGTACATAAAAGCTGCTGCAAAAGATGGAATGATCTGTCCTCTGTGCCTATAGAAATGAGGACAAGAAGCCAGTGTCTTGACTGCAGCCGAGGAGACAAAAAACTTTCTTATGGTAAAGATTGTTGTGACATGCTGGCACTGGCAGCATAGTCTCCATTGCTGGAGGTCATTAAGAACATGTCAGGAATAACAAGTCTGAACCATCACTTCTTGGGGCAAAAAAATTCACCTTTTGAGGCTTTTTCTAGTCCTATCACTTTAGGACTTTTGATCCAATAAACTTTAACAAGCCGACATTATGTGCTCAGAGCTAACCAACACAAATGCTTCTGCTCTTCTTCTTTTAGCAGAATGTAACATAGACTGTCAATCACTTTTAGTGTAGCTCCACTCTATTATTAACTTTCTTCCTCTCACACAATGTTGCAGAAGGTTTACTTCCACTGCCCAATGTGCAAGCAGGTCTCTCTTATTCCCTTTCAGGCTGGCATCCAGGAAGTTAAAGAAATCGTAGAAGCCCAGAAGGAGCTGGACAGTTACTATCAAGAGTCAGCAAAGCAAGGGAGTAGGGAAACAGTTACCTCCATGTCTCTGAAAAGCATTGAACACAAGCAGCAGCTGGGTAAAACTGAAGAGCTAAAAAGTACCTGTCATCTTTCCAAGAGGGCCATGAAACACAGTGCTCTGTCCATAGAGAGTCTCAGAAAGATTCAAGCTGACAGGTGAGTGAAGCACAAATATGGTGATTGTGGGGGATGTTATGAGCTGTAATATTCTCAGTTTATCTCTTGAAAGCAAAATACAGGCTCTCCACTCTCCCACTGCTGGTATACCTCAGTCTTGGTCTGGAAGGCTTACCTCTAAAGAGAGCAGTGGGGTTTAGCTTCACAGGCAATTTAGTTCTGGCCCTTGCTTGCCTCTGGATGCCAAGTAATGACAATCAGTTTATTTTTAATGGAATTGTGAAATATTACCCAGTTGATAATTGTTGCTCAGGTGGAATTCATGCCAGGTCCTAGCCAGTGCTGATGTTCTGCTATCCAGAGTCAGGTTCCCCCAACAGAGATGTACAGGCCAAGAGGGATCTGAGCTCTGAGCGTTGCCCCATGAACTCAGCTATTCTGCAGGGCACACAGAATCTCCATGGCAGCTACAGACATTCTCCTTTATAGAACAGATAATGTATATAAAGACCAAAGAGTGTCTTTCTTTCTTAAAATATTTTTTCTTCCTGCACCTGATCCAGTGCCTTGATTTACAGAAATACCAACAGCCTTCGGTTTAAAAGACAGACCGGGGATCTGAGCATTCAGTATGCATTTTACTGAATCCTGGCTTTAATGTTATATCAACAAAGGGCTTAAAGAAGACCCTAACACAAATGAAAAATGCAGCTAAAATATAAATATCATATGCATCATGAAATTCAATAAACTAGGCAAGCCCATGTATTTGCTAAGATCAGCTTAGGGCTGTACTAGGATATCTTGGCACGCAAAATATCTGTCTCTTCAGAGACACACTTGTCTGCCTCCCAGGTCTCCTTTTCCAAGATCCACGTATCTGTCATCACTACTACAGGCCAGCAGACTTCTTCCTAATGGCAGCACAGTCTGGCACAGACTGGACATGTTTGTGCCTCTTTTCTATTTCCCAGAGTAGCATTCAAGGCAGCATTTTTAAATTGTAAACGTCCATGAACTCCTACTACAGAGTTCTCCAGACGTACAAGAAGCAGATACCATGGGAGAAGCACCTCTGGATTTGGTAGGACATAAGAACACAAATGGGACCTTGTATTTCCTCACCTTTTTATCTGAAAATAATAATGGATAAAGATGCCTCACACTATAGTACCAGCGCCTATAAATTGCTGTTGTGTTCCTTTTCTTTCTGGCAGGCAGTATGCAAGTAATGTAATTACAGCCACTATGAAAAAGATGCAGGAATCAGGAACATTCAATAGCCTAACAGAAGCTAATGAGAGAGAGAAGGGAAAAAAGAGCAAGTTTCACGATGTCCTCATCAGGTCAGTGTTGTGTTCAGTACTTCCCTGTTTAACTGCTGAAAGCCAAAGCCCAAATGCTAAAAAGTTAAAAAAACCCAAAACCCAGCCTACACCCAAAATACAGAAAGGATTCCACTTTTTCAGCTTGAATCATTCTGTCTGCTTCACAAACTGCGCTTCTTTCCCCTTCAGAAAGAAATAACTCATGGTTCTGAAACTGATCTGAGCTAGGAATTGCCTGAGCTTTAACTGCAGTGGACACCAGTGTCTGCAATAATGTGAATGCTGCTCCATATAAAATTAAAACATAATGTGATGTAGGAGCTCCCTGATCTTTAACTCCTAACCTCAGTGAAAGCCAGAGCAGCACAGAATTTGTTCAAACCAGGGCCAGCAACATATGGTATTTAGGTTATGTGATGCTGGGGAGTACGTCTTCTGACCCATGCTAATGCTAATATGCTCCATTTTCCCAGGACCAGTGAGGGGCTAGCACAGATGGTGACAGAGGCAGTTATTTATGGCTCATCCACCAGCACTATAGATCCTCTTCTGTCCCAGATCTTACAGGGCACAGATTTGTTACCATCTCAAGTTAATCTAGTGATTCCTTAGCACAAACTTCTGGGCACTAGAGGCTTGGAGGTTTTATAACATGGGAAGCTCTGGTTCAATCCCAAGCCTGTCAGAGAGAACAGCAGTCATCAGAGAAGTATTTGATTGTTTTAAAGCTACTTTGTTCTGTGTAGCAGCTCAGGCCCATCATTTAGGGTAGACAGCAAAGCTGCTGTAAGTCATGATTTGTCATGAGTCAAACCTACTGGACCAGCTCCAGTGGTGGCTCAGTGGTCTGCCTCTGGGGCAAGCCCTCAGCTTCCAGTGAAATGGGTGATTTCAAGCACAAACCCCAACTCTTCCACTGTCTAAACCCAAGGGATTTATTGTTTATCCATGAAAGGGACAGAAAGCAAAAGTAAAAGCAGCAATTGCTTGTGGAATAGCTATCCAATACTGGAAGGTGGAAAGGTGAAAACAAATTATAATCAGAAAGGACATAATCCTATTTATTCTGCTTCATCATCATATCTAGCCACTATGATGTCTGTTCTACTATATATTCTTTTCACAGAATAAAACTGATCTGTCTTTCAATACAATGCATACTTGCCTGGTTTTGTGTGAATATACTAGTCTGAAAGCAGCCTGCAGTAAGACTAGAACTCTACCAGAAGCTTGTGTTCTGATCAGTCACCCAGCTAAGGACTGAGAATTAAATGCATGTTTGATTGTAAGGTTGGGATAGGGTATTAAGTCTCAGGTACCAACTGTAGTATTTACTGGCTTTATATCAAACCATAAGCATAAGAACTTAGAAAAGCACTCTAAGTGAGATAAGATAGTAACACCTAGAACCTTATTGCATCTGTTTTAGGCAGGTTAATGGCTCTCTAGCTTTTGCCTTCACTCATATCCCTTTGTAGATCTCAGAACCTGAAGCAGTGTTTTTTGAAAGATTTTAAGAGTGATACAAAAAAACCATTCTTGATACATATAATGAAACTTACACAATTTGGGACTGTCTGCTGGTCAGGCATGCTTCTGCACAGAATCAGGGAGGTTTTTGCCTGAAATGCAGGAACTGTGACTCTATGGTAGGCATCTTCCCTCTCTGCTGTAGGAACTGCATCATCCTGAAGTGCACTCCATGCTTTCAAGACCTTCCCCTAGCTTTGGCTCATTCATCCCACCCTCCTTGCTCAGCCTGTGCACTTCTTTCCGGATTTACTTATCAAGATACTAGCTTTAGCAAGAAGTCTTTGTTGCAAATGTGCTGCCTCCTCAAGATTCAAATGAAGAGATGAATGCCTTTTTTTGTTACTCAGCCATGGGAGGCATCTTGTCTTCTACTGGTCTGCAGAAGCTGGCCAAACTTTTGTGTGTACTTCTTTTAGTTCAGCTGTTAGAATCTCATTGAGTGAGCAGGATAAGCAGGGCAGTGTTCAGCAAGATGCCACAATGTACCAAGAGACAGGAAACTCCCCTTCAAGGTGAACAGCTCTTGTCTTTTTTTTATATATTCAAGTGATTGTATTTTCACATTTTTCTTTAGGGAGAAGGAAGGAAAGAAGCAGATAAACTCACTTGAGAAACAGCTGCAAGACATCAAGAAACAAACTGAAATAGAACTCAAGGTGAGATCACTTAGCACTGGGCATCATGCCAGGGGGGAAAGCCTGTTAGCAAGGTTGCCCCTGCTGCACAGGAACTTGCACTCAGCTGAGAGAACATGTGGCATATATAATGATCCATAATTTAGGAATATAGAAGCAGTATAATTGCAATGAAGATTTGTATTCTGAATAAACCTGCTAATGACTTGAAGAACAGTGTCCCATGGTTTTCAAATGGGAGTTCAAAATTCTCACAAGCTTGAGAGACTATGATCAAATTGGAATACCCCAAAACACTGCTGGGAGTGGCAAAGCACAGACATCTGCAATTAGTAAGAAAGAGGTTGTCTGCAGGTAGCAGTATTTAAGGTTCTGCCATACTTACCCATGCAGATGTGACACCTGGCACAGAAGAAAGTGTGACAATGAGGGAGTGAGAGACACCTGGCATAGAGGCATGTAATTTTTTTACCCACATTTTTGTCTGGGGAAAATTTCTTTATTTTAATCTATTTTTCTAGGCTTCCAGATATTAGAAAATCCCAAACCTGGGAGTCCTATACAAAGGTAGATCAACATTATTGCACATACACTGTCAGCTTGATCTTTCATGCTCAGTATTTCCACCCTTTGTCTGCAGCATAAAAATGGTGCGTGCATCCACAGTAAATCTGGGGCATTCTGGAAATGGCAGACTTGCTACACAAGTGCAGGTCATTTGAATGCCATATCACTGGTCACTCTGATGCTCACCAGACAGCTCAGACTTGATGCTCAGGCGTGCTTGAGCATAAAAGCACACACAGTTCTATGCAGAAACATGGAAATGTAGCATAGCCCTGCTCAGGCAGGAAGAGTGTTACAGAAAACAAGCAAAAGGCAGGCAGATTCAAAGCTATACAAAGACTGGAAGAAGGAACAAGAATCTGATGCTTCATTCAGTACCGAGCAAAAGGACAGCAAGGGCATCCAAGGAAATAATCAGTATCACTGAATTTTGTCTTTGGACAAAAGTGTGGACAGTATTCAAGACAGGATATAGTTGGCTACAGAGAGGAATTTTAAGCCGCTGACATGCTGGTGAAGCAGTTTATAGAACATGAGGGTTTTGTGCTGGAAGTTTGGATGTGCAGTGGAAAGTTTAATTGTAAATACAGGATGGTTTTAACAACATGAAGGATCTATTGATACTGGTAGTGTATGCAGCTAACTATAACTGATGAAAACACAGGAAGTCCAAGAAGATATTAGAACAGCAGCGGAGAAAGCAGGAATATACAAGATGGGAAAATTCATTTAGGTCAGTGCTCATCTACTAGTGGAGATCCTGGAAATGCATAACATACATTGGGAAGCGTCCCTGTGAGACAACCCAAAAGTTCCTTGACATCTGTGTGGCAGTTAAATGAAATAAGCTGGATGGTTTGTCAGGCTCAGAGACTGTACATTGTCTGTTTGCTTTTGCACACTGTCCCTTCTCAGTCAGAATCTGATGGCTCCTGGTAAGCCCCTGTTCTCCCATCTCCCCAAGCTAGTGAATATGATGGGGTAGTTCTACTGTGTAGTGCTTCTCAAACCTCACAGTGTCTGTGCATGCAATATATGTGTCTGGTTCTGGTCTAATGCCTTCCCAAGGACTGATGTACAAGGAGTTATCATCATCCTGTCTCACACTAGCAGCAATGTCCTGGCACTCTGCAGTCAGGCTGGGCACTTCTCTGTGTCCTGCCCTGCACCCCTCCTACCCGTTGCAGGACAAGGTGTGTAGCTCCCATGTCGAGAGGGTGCTCTTCTCTGTATTCTTTCAGTACCTTCTGCTAATTTGATTCTTGCTTTTTGCCACATGAATTGGGATCTGGATTCATCTGGGATTTTGTTTTTTATATTTCCAGCTGAAAAGTCCTTTACTTGGCTTCCTTATAGTTTCAGCTTTGATAATGAATCAAAGACAAGACTACTTTCAAGTACTCCTTTCCTCCTGTGCCAAAAATAATGGTGTCTCACTGCGTCTCCCAAGGGAGAATAATTTCTATTTGCTTCATATGGGATTTTCCCTTAGGCAGTTTTACAGCCACTTGCATGATTTGTCACCTTGCCAGCTAATTAAAACCAAAAATACAGCTTGCTGATTTTGAAGTACTTTGAACAATAATAATGCACAGACCTACATGTAGACAAAAGCCTACATGGTTGTCTCCAGTTTGTGGATGAGAAAACAAAAGTGAGCAAATCTAATAATGGAACCAGAAAAACATGGTCTTTGCTTCATGCATTTTGCCTGTACGTTTGTATTTTCAGCCTTTCTACCTCTTAATAAGATGTTAATTAATGCAGTGTTAGCCTGCTCAGCTCATTTTTCTTTCTAATGGAACACAAATCAAATGCTGAATGTTCTTTTTTTGAATCTTGTCTGTCTGTCTTCTTGGAAAGCATTGATGTCTCTAAAGGAGCTGAAATTATCACTCTGGTTTTGCTCTTATTCCTCCATGCAGGAGCATCACCAATAGCTCTAGTTTGGCTTCAGGAGTTCTGTTTGCTGCTGCAGTGTTTATTTTCCAGCTTGTATGAAAATACTCACTTTCTCTGGTTTCCTGGACAAGTGATAGCAGCCTGGTCAGCTTTTGCAACAAGTTCACATCATATAGTATTATATAGTTTAAGATAAAAATGTAGGAAATGTAAACTTTAGAATTCCTGCATTGCTATTCTCCCAAACACTCTTTATGTTTTGTGGTGTACTCATGCCATAAATGTGTGCAAGTCATGGTATAATTGTGTAACAAGCAGTAATACTGCAGGCTACCTCCCAGACAGAAAACCATGTTGTTGCACTAGGGTACCAATGAAAACAGGTTTGTAACTTTTGCTATGTGGGCTCTCATAACACATCCAGGGCCACTGTGTCAGTATACCACTTGGTAGTGCATTTACTAGTGCAACTAAAATCCATCATATTTCTTCCTTTACCCTCTCCCAAAAGGACAAATGATGAAGTGTTCTGCAGGAATGTTTTAAACACACACACACACATGCACCGGTGCATGTTCCTACTGCAGAAATGCACCAGGTGATTACAGCACAAGACACAAGGACTGTGATGGTCCTGAGCTCCTGGGTGACTGCTGGCAGAGCCCCAAGGCAGCTCAGCAGGACCTGGAGCTGGTTCACTAGATCCAAACCTGGCTCCAGAGAAACAGGACTTTGGACAAGAGTGCTGCTGCTAACAGGTCTGCTCCCTCTGCCAGCAAACTACCCCTCACACAGCTTGCTCCTGCAGCTGCTGGGATTGGAAGTGAGCTAGCGGAGGGCTGCAGAAGCTGTTATGTGGAAGCTGGGTGACCCTCCAGTCTTCATGTTGTTTCAGTTGAGGCATTTCTTGGGGTGTGCAGCATGCGGATGTTCTGGCAGCTGGGACAGAGCCTTATTGAAGTGTCTGTAGGGCTGCATGCTGTGGTTTCAGGGGGAGCAAGTCCAGGCTGCAGCAGGTGTGTAGATCTAAGCATATCTTCAGGCTTTGCAAGCTGAGATATTGCAGCTGCCCGTGCAGAGACTTGAGCTCATACGCACTCAGTGTGGAAGCAAGGAGGCAGGCAGCAGGACTCTCTGCTGGCATGCTGCCTGCCTGCACATAGCACAACAACCATTCCCCTGCCCCCTCACAGTGCCTGCCAAATGGTGGGCTCTGGGTGTGCTGCTGTCTGCAGGAATTCCTAGACTGTTTACTCCTGTTGGCTATTTTTGTAACCAGCCATATTTTAAATGACTGTAAATACTAATTGCTGTGGAAGAGCTGAGAAATCTAGGTGGCACTTGTAAGTGAAACAAATCAAAGTAAATTAAGATACAGTAAATTAAGAATTTGCTTCTTTGTTTGTAAGAGAAACAAATCAAAATAAATTAAGACACACTTAATTATGCACAGTAAATTGAGAGGGCATAGCCTCTCCAGCAAAGAGCAGTTCCTTTTGCAGCCAAACAGCATTTGTGGAGCAGACTGCTATGGCATTGGTAATAGCAGCAGACAAGGACTCTGAGCTTATGTCTGCAAGCTGAGAGATCAGAGAAAATCAGCTTGTTTACCTGCTTCTGAAGCAGACTGGCTCTTTGTAAGTATTTCCTGGGTTTTGATCTTGGTCTCTGCCAGTTTTGTGATAGTTTTGGACACACAAAGTATGATTTTGCATCTTTGGTTTGGCAGATTGAAGGCTGAAGTCATCCCAAATAAGCAGCCCAGAGGTTTACCGCATTAACTATGACAGCACTCAGTGTCCTGTCTGGGAACTCTGCTATGATAAACAAGAATGAATAAATATGAACTCATTTGCCAGGTGTTGCTTAAGTTCAGGGAACAGCATACTCTACAACTGGTGCCCACAGCCTGTGGGCATCTACTGCTGTATTTACTACCTGCAACCTAATATTGAATGTGCCCCAGTTCCGCAGCACCAGGTCCATCAGCGGGGCTGCAGTAGCTGCCCACACACCTCCAGCTGACTTTCCCTCTCCAACCAAATGCGTTGCTGTAAACCACCAGTGGGGTTTTGCGTTTCACTTCCTGTCTGCTTTGGATTCTGTAACCAAGCCCCCAGACTCCCTGCCTCTAACAAAGATGTTTTACAACACCGCAGACCAAATCCCAACCACAGACATGCCATACAACAAAGAAAACAAACAGCACAGACAGGCCTCCATCCCAGCTGAGGCCTGGGGCACTGGAATCAAAAGCACTTTTTAACTCTGCTTTACTAAAATGTGAAATAAAAAAGAAAATAACCTGGTGAAGTGGTCATGCTCTGCCCCACCTCTGTAATATCCGAGTACTTTGTAACCTAGGCTGAACCCTCCTTTTCTGACCTGTTTACAGACCCTTAGCAGACAGCAATTACACTGAAATTCGCAGCACTTGCATACTTGCTGAGTTTCAGCACCGAAACCGCCCAGCATCCTTCATCAGCATCTCCCCAGTCCCTCTGCCAGCCCCTCAATTTAGACATGATTCCACCATGAGACAGGAAGACAATCTCTAAATAAAGTGCTATGGTCACCTTGCGTATCTAATGACTGGGAGCATGAGTCCTCCCAGTGCCCACCAAAATTTCATACCAGGGAAAATAAAGGCCATTACCAGATACTTTAATAGGGCACAAAAAGGTGTTGCCTGTAGCTGTCTGCAGTCATATGCTGATATGGCTGTAAAATAGTATCTGATGTTGCAAATTCAAAAAGAAAAAGAAGAAAAGTGAACACGACTTTCAAAGCCACAAAACAGCATCAGCCAAGGGCCCAAATTGTTCTGAGCCTTACAAGTACGCTTTACTCTTCCTATGTCCCACAAGGGGTGCACAGGGAAGGATTTTCCTTCTAACTGTTCCAAACTCTTCTTATAAAGAAACCTTTTCCAAATGAGTCATTCTGCAGCAGCTTTTAAACACAGCACTATTGAGCTGGCTTCTTCCTGTGGCATTTTTCCATATTTACACATCTAAGGAATGCAAGGGTGCTTCAGACATGAGATATGTGGACTTCAAACATCTAAATGCCAGCACTTTGGTATTTCATCTTCAGCTGCAAGGTTTGGCTGATGAATGTGAAACTCATCACAGCATGTCAGGAAAGCGAAGAGAAAGGCTGTAATGGAGCAATTGGGCTCCAAACCCAAAACGTTAAGATTGATCTTGCATAATTGCATAGGAGACTTTGATGAAACAATTTAACTTTTAATACAGAAGTCCAGAGTTTTTCATTTTACAGGTGGTTCTTCCAAGTGCCAACCTCAGATTAATGAAACCTGTTACTCAAAGAAATTCAATAAAAAGGAGTAAACAAATCAACAATCCCATGTCAAGCAAATCCACTTTGCTTCCTGATCATGCTCCAAAAGCTGGACAAATGGCTCAGGATGCTTACCCATGGTGAGTTCCCTGGAGACAGAATTCCCTCAGGAAAGCTCAGCTCCATTGCAAAACAAAGCATGGGGAGAGGCTGGGAGCTCATAGCAAGCTTTCTTCAGTACTTCCTTGCCCTGGGTGTATACTTTTATAACAAAGTGGACACCATCTACCTGGTAAGATTTCAAGAACTGTTAAAACATAAGCACCACACAGATTAGATTTTTACCTTTTCCTAAGGTTGCATTTATACAGTTGCTGCATAACTAGGAAAAAATGAATCCAAGGAATAGAGTATGCTTTAGGAAATCAGCCCTTGGTTTACATGGGACTGAGGCATTATCCTCCTTTTACAGATGCTCACTCACTGAGACAGCCTAATTCAGGAGGTTAGTAAAGCCTAACTTTAGGCAGTTGAAATTATTTGGCTTCTTATAATAAGCATGACTGAATCCCTTCCTGGACCAGAAACCAGAAGGCCTGGCTTGCCTCGCTCTGTTCATTACTCCACCCTCTCCAGAGGTAGTCAGTCCTTGCTGATGGGTTTATTGCCATCTGTATGGGTTACAAATCAAACTTCCCTTTGAGGTTGAAATGGAGCAACATTCAGGAAAAGTGTGAAGCTTATAGCCTTGTCTTTCCTGAGTTTAGCAGGGACTAGAGAGATTAAGAAACAGTGAGCTGATCTCAGTCTCCAGGCTTGCTTTTGTGCTTCTCTCTCCTACACTAGAGCCGAGATGCTATGATTCTTTACCTGAAAGATGAGCTCCAAGAGATGAAAGCCAAAATGAGCATGGAGAGCTCCTATGTGAAGAAAAGCACTGACCTCCAGTTCCATGAAATCCAGAAGAAGTGTAGCAATGCAGAGAATGTCCTGGACAAGGAAATTCAGGTAAGCCCTTCCCCATGGCCCCTACTGGAAGGCATATCCAAGTATTAAGGGAAGAGTCCTCCCTTGCTCCCCAGATGCCCTTTGTATTCTCCATCACAGTCACCAACAGAACTATTTGAACTGGATCAGAAAACTCATCCAGGTTAGAAATCTTTCACTCTTCCATTGATTCTCTGTATGGTCTTGCAAACAGCAATAGCATGGATGGCATGGCTGCAGGAGACAATGGCTGGAGGTAGGGACTGCTTAAAGTAATGACACTATCAGAGAAACAGACCCATAACTATGGTGAAAGGGTGTAGTTACAAGGCTGTTTAGCAACATGGGCAGCTGAAACTCTCAGCACTGCTCACAGCACATGGTGCTGATAAAGATGTTCATGTGGCCCTAAGGTAAATTGGGCTAGAAAATGGTTCTGGTTTTGCAAACTCCGCCCCCCCCCCCAAAAAAAAAAAAAAAGTTTGATCTAGTTGTCCCTTCTTTATGGATGGCCCAAGGTCAAGGACTGCCTTGGCTAATTTTGTCACTGGGAAAAAATGTCTTTGACTACACAAATTGCTCCTGCACTCTTGCTCAAAGCTCAGCTCTCAGCAGCGAGTGTGTGTGCACACACATGCACTAATATTGTCTTGTTTTCTGTCTGTGCTGATCACAGAAGTTGAAGAGCAAAACTGATGAGGAGATTCGAATCCACACGGAGATTGAAGATTTCCTCAGGCAAAACCTTAAGGTACGTGTGACTGTCTGCTAATGATTAAAGTAGCAACTGATAAACATTATATCCTCAATTAGTGCCTACTAGAAAGCCAGTTATTGCTCTATCAAATTTACCAGGTTCTTCATTGCTGCCGTTTGAATGACTATTTATCCTCAAGTCATAATGAACCCAGGTCACCCAGACTTGGGGTTTGCTACATTTCCTTAAAATTAGAGTTCATGTAATGATTGGCATTGTTTGTTCAGACATTACAGATTGTTCCTCCCTCAGATAGTTATATTCAGCTAATTGGAATTTTATTTAGACCTTCCTTGGCAGTAGCTGGGGCTCCCGGTACCTCAGTGAAGGGTGCTACTGCGCAGTGAGGGCAACTCTTTCACCAACCTGAGTGTTGTAAACAGGAGGCACCAAGGAGGAAATGACACAAATTGCCAGCCCAGTTTTGGCTTATCTTAATCCGAGGAAGTATCAGGGTTGGATAATTGCTAATTCACAATTATTGTATGCATTTTCAGCAGCAAACAACCATGAATGTCCTTGTGTTGTTGATCCAGAAGTTCAGGGCTCTCCTATTACCAAGTGTGCCCATTACGGTGAATAACACTGGAAAGCATCTCAAACCACATGACTGGAAGAAAACCTGTACTAGTGCAGAGTACCTAACATCAAGGCTAGTACAAAATTTATTAGAAGATATTAAATTTTTTAAAAATGTAATTTGAATGCAAAATAGGTGCTGTATCTTGTGAGCAATTAGTGTCCTTTGTATCCCAGAGCCTTAGGCTGATCAGCACTTCATATTGAGGGGACTTTCCAAGTACAACTGCAGCCTATTTGACCTCTATCAGACGGCAAAGTACAAACCTCTCTGTACTCAGACAGCAGCTGGTGGCTTTATAGGGGCCCACAGAGAAGAGGATGACCATGGCCTCCATCTCCCTTGTGTGTCCAGCTGTGATGCCATAATGAGATTGATGCTTTTTCTCAGATTATTTTTCCATGCAAGCCGTCATGGTTGTTGCTATGGAGAAGTTGTTCATGAATGGAAGGAGGTCATCTGGGTGACTGTTTCAGAAACACCTGCCCTTCTACTCACAAGTGAGACAAAGCCAAGTTCACAACCTGAAATAGCGTGAAGCGCTCCGCGTGTACATTATGCCTGCTGTGCTGAGCTTAATACAGAAAGCGGGTAGGGAGTCAGGCAGAGGATAAAAGCTTTCTCACTGACAAATTCTATTTCTTAACACCACCCCACCACCCCACCCCCCCCGTGTACACACAAAGAATGGTTTCTAGTTATCACTTCTCCAGGATTGACTGTGTACAAAACTAACCTGCAAGTACTGCTCCATTCTTTGTGCATCCCTGAAAGCCCAACCTAGCCTTTCTTCATCCCCAGTCCAGTGCTGCAGCTTCCGTGGTGAACCCCTAGTGAGGGACCTGCAGGCCACCAGTAATTTATCACTAGTCCTGGGGGTTTGGCCATTTCAAGACGAGAAGAAAACACTGACCATGTGAAATTTGGTGTACTCTTACCACCATTCTGACAGCAGGCCATATAATAGGAGCAAACCTTTCACCTGTACACTCTTTTTGCCATGCTGAGCACCACTCTATCCCCATGCAGAAGGTGGAAGAGAAGCTGGAATACTGGGTGGACAAATATGAAAATGACACAGATGCTAAAGACAAAGAACTGGATGCCCTAAAAGCATTAAAGGCAAACAACTTGGAAATACTGCAGGGACTTGCCAAGGAGGTAAGACATCAGCAGTATCTCTGCTCAGCCATGCAAAACTGCATCCTGGCTTTTTCTTACCCTCATTCAGACAAGGAACCAGGACCACAGAAAATAAGAATCAGTAATATTGAGGTGTAGGGTGAGATGATAAGCACTGGTTCTGGGAAGGCAGGACCAAGTAGTCATCTTGTATTTGCGCCACCTGTGACACTGAAGGATGATGATGTTTCCCCTACAGCTATTATCAAATAACAGCAAGTAATCAGAGAGCTATTGACAGCCTTTGAGAGGGTCAAAGACACTGTCCCATCCCACCAGTATGTCTCACCTTCATTTGTTGCCTTATTCTGAACAAATCTGCTCCTTCTAGCCTTGCTGGTGTAGACAGGCTGAGACTGGAAGAGGCAGTTCATCCCTCCCTGCAGATGCACGTTTACAGCTACACAGTGCTCTAACGGACTGATTGTGGTTAAAACCATTCCTGACCCACACTGGTTTCTTGGTTATCTGCCGTGCTCTGAACACAGCTATGCAGACACAGTGGAGCAGGCAGCACAGGGCAGAGAGGAGTGCCTAGAAAAAGGGGTGTTCTAAAGCCAGAAGGAATTAATTTGTAATCATTCCTTACTGTCACTGGGTCTGAGACGATGGGACTGAGTTAGATGTTTCCCTGTTTGCAGGCTCATATTTTTCACTCTGTATACTGTCATCTCAGTGTCCCAAGTGTGTCTGTGTATCGTCTGCTGCCTATCTCGGGGGAGCACAGGTCCTTCCCACCACCATCTGTTGCCTGAGACACCATCAGACAGCCATTTTACAGCACAGCATCAGAGGGTTAATTACACCCAGACCATGAGAGGCTTCACTTTGGCAGCAGCTCTCAGTGCCTTTGGACTAATGGTGGTAATGAGCAACATTTGCCATCTGGATTCAAGAAAGATCAAATAAAGGAGATGGGGGAGGAAGGCCCATGCTTACACATTACCCTTGGGCTGTCATGGAGGTCTCTGGTGCACAGGCTAGGGGCCCGCACTGTGGCCCTGTACACAGCCAGAGGAGAAGACTCCTTTCACCAGGGTCTGGGTGAGCCCTGCCCTGGCAAGGTGCGGGGCAGCGTGAGGCTTGATGGACAGCCCTGCACTTTAGGGGAAGTGTTTTTCATGCTGCTATTGCCACCCTTGTGCTATCTTGCAGTGCCAGACATTTGAGAAGACCATCATCACTGACCGGGCAGAAAAGGATGCTAAAAGAAAACAAATAGAGCAGGATGCCTTGGAGCTGAAGAGCACCCTGAAGGTAAATGGCAGCAAAGCTGAGGCAGTGCTGCTCCATCAGCAGCTGGGAGTTAATAATTCATGTCACAGGCTTTGTTCAGGCAGAAAATGGGCCAAGAAAGTTGGCTGGTGTGGGGCAGCACAAGCAAAGGACAGACAAAGCCTGCCCCTTTCTACTGAGGCAGACAAAAAGCCAGCAGTCAGCTGCAGGTTTGAGAAAGGAACAAAAAGGGAGAAGCCAGTCTCCTCAAATGATCTGGGGCTGTGCCTGTCACACCACCCCACTGTATGGGTGATTCAGGTCATGGAGCTGTTCCCTGCTCGTCCCCTTGCCACCAGCAACAGATGCCCTTGGCCCAGATGTGGATTCCTTCAGCATGACCAGCACAGGCCCAACTGCTGCTGTGTGGGGCAGAGGTTCCCTCCTGCAGCTGGGAAGCACAAGAGAGACTCTCTGCCTATTGAGTTGTACCAGCTACTCCAGCAAGTAGCTTCTCTTAAGACTCCTCTCCCTCTCTTCCAGCTGCAGTCCTGGTGGAGAGGTACAATGGTCCGCAAGAACCTTGGCCCCTACCAGGGCCTGAAGAAGAAGATGGAGAAAAAGCAATCAGACCACAAAGAAAAAGGGAAAAAGGAAAAAGCTGGAGCAAAGAAAAAAAAGTGATAAGTAAAGAAAGGGGCCACACATGCTCCAGGGCTATTGCTGGGCACGGCACTGTGGTTGGTGTGTCTGACAGAACGAGATAAACCAAATTCTCGAGCTATTCTGGAGAATACAGTCATGTCACACACAATTAAGGTGAAGCTACAGTAACTCTTAAGATCTTGAAGCTGCCCTTGCACAGCAGAGACATTTTCTCCAGCAGAAAGGGGACTTGCATCAGAGCAGTGAGAAGCACTGTCCCCCAAAGTGCTGTATGGACACAAGACAGCTAGAGGGAGGTAACCCTGTTAACAGCCCAGTATCTCGCCTGCATGGGACACTCTGCGCCGGGAGCGTCCTCTGCAGACCCCAAAGCACTGGTCGTGACTGAGGCACTGGTGTGTGCTGCAGCTCCAAGTGAGGCAGTGAGGCCAAGTCACCCACACCTGGGCTCAAGCAGCACCCTCCAGGCTGTCAGGGCTGGCATTAGGTCAGCAGGGTTAAAAACACTGACAGCTTGCAGTGTAAACACAAGGGCAGTCAAAGCACGCAGGTTTCCATTCCCACAGTCCTGCAAAATGTCAGTGCATAGCATAGCTCCAAATGCCTTCCCTCCGAGGAAGGAACACCGGTAAAAAACACCCCGCCACACTGCCTGCAGGAGCTGCCCTGGCCCCATCTGTGCACAGCAAGATGAGGCAGTAGGCAGAGTGAAGCTGCTGGGGAACAGTGTGCTGCTTTCTAACCAAGAGGGGAGCCCCTTCTCCTGACACACGATCGTGCATACAGGTCTGTGCACAAAGCAGAATTAGCCCTGCGGTTGAGCTGGCTGGTGTCTGACACTCCCTCACAGAAGAGTGAGCTCAAACCACACAAAATCTGCTGTGCTCTTTGTGACCAGCCCATGCTGGCTTCATCCAAACGTCCTCATGACCAAGCTGAACTGTGCCAAACGATCTAAAGGTGGAAATGACTGAAATCATAATCAGAGCACCTTTGGCTCAGGGCTCTGTTTGAATGGCAGAGAAGGGGGTGGTGCTGACTATGAGGCAGAATGGATTGTCAAAGGGAGCTCAGAAGTTTCAGACACACGTTCCACTCCCAGCACTGGTACCAAAGCCATTTTGCTCACTTTCTGTGGCCCCCATGCAGTGCTAAGACTAGGGATCATGAGTCAGGACTGTGCTTGCACCCATATGCACACCACATCGCCTCACTGTGGGAAGCGCCTCAAAGCAACTGTGGGACTTAGGTTCCTAGTCTTATTTCTCCTTTCTCATGCACTGCTGACTTGTGTTTTCCCTATGTGGTGGGTGTTAACGGGTGACCTGTTCGGGTGGAAGGCATGAACTCTGATAACAAACTCTACAGAAGGCTTGAGCAAAGGAAAAAGCAGGGTAAGTGGACGCGTGGCAGACCTTATATCAAACTCTAGGCACCCATTAGTAATTCAACCAACTGAAATCTGAAACATGGCATTTGCTGGGCTCTGACTGCTTTTCAGCAGAGAGCAAAACAGAATTCTGGTGGCAAAAAAAAAACCCCAAACCAGCAGTAGAACAGGGTCTGCTATTCCAGTAAGTGGGGGGTGCTGAAATCTCAAGTCCCAAAACAAGTGTCCCAGCCACCAGTGGCAGTGTGAGGGGGATGAAGGTGTTGAACCTGACCTCACGCCTCCCAGGGAAGGCCAGCATGCTCCTGTGTGGGGACTATGGCGCGGCTGCCACCCATCCTGCTCCTTCAGGTCTCCTCCCATCAGCAGCCCATCCCAGAGATGCTGTTCTCATTACAAGCCTTACCTTGCTCAGCAGAAACTACAGTGGTGTTCCATGCCTTGGCTGTACAGTGGGCAAGTAAATCAGCTAAGCACATCCGGTGGTGGGAGTGGAGAGCTGCATCCCAAAACCTGTCAGTGTTGAGGAACTCTGTCAGGATCAGTACTGTGCATTTTCTCCAGCTATGGAGAGAGGGGATCAAAGTGCACATCCACGTTTTTTGCAGGAAAAAACAGAAATCACAAGCCCTTTGGAGGAACTGGGTTCTTGGGAGGTAAATGGAGAAGAAAGGATGGATATCAGGAAGCTGTTTAGGAGGTGGCTTTGGAAAGAACCCCTGGAGAGAGCTGGGCAGCCCTCACAAAGGCAGCAGCTTGGTGAGCAGGGAACAGTACCACAGGGGCACGCAGTGCAAGTTTGTGAGGGTGGTGAGGCACTGGAATGGGTTGCCCAAGGAAGCTGTGAATGCTCCAACCCTGGAGGTGTTCAAGGCCAGGCTGGACAGAGCCTTGGGCGACATAGTTTAGTGTGTGGTGTCCCCGCTCATGGCAGGGGGGTTGGAACTAGATGATCTTAAGGTCTTTTCCAACCCTAACTATTCTATGATTCTATGATCTCCAGCAATTTCTAGGCCTTTACTTATTTATTTTTCTAAATAATAAAAACTAGCTATGAGGAAGGAAGAAAAGAGGAGCAGACATTTTGGTTAGTAAAAACAAACCCTACAAATGCTGTGGGGCATGAAGCTGGGTGCAAGTTTTACAGATCAGACCCAATATAGGATAAAACCAATCAAGTGATGAGAACAGCAAGGAACAGCAAAACCACCAGCAGCAAACTCCCCAAACCCAGAATGTACATTCTACTTTGAAAAGGAAGAGAAAACCCAGGGGGTGGGGAGGGAGGAGCAACGGATTCTGAACAAAGTCACTGCTTCTCAGTGTCTGGGGAAGGTTAAAATATCCCCAGGAAAAAACTTCTGATGTGGCTGCAGAACATGTCTAAAGATAGTGGAGTTTTTCTATCCTAGTTAACTATGAAAATGAGAGGAACAAACCAAGTCCATTAACTGGCACCTGTGAGGATGAGGAAGGGGAATAAACACCCAACACAGAGGATGTGACATTCAATGACAGAAAAGAAAAACAGCAGGAAGAAATAATGTAATTCATGTAAGTTTGAAAACTTTATTTCAAATTACCCATGGTTTCCTTTTATATTACCGGTGTGCTAGAAGTTCACACTACTGGCAGAATACAGGCAACGTAAAATATACAATACTCGGACACATTTATACCTAACAGGCTTAGAAATTATGGAATGTATTTACAGACATACAGCATGGGATGGAGCTTTAAAATCCTTTATTAATTACACGTTTACACTGTTTTCAGAAATAACAAAATTAGATCACTTTGTAAAACATCACAATATCTATACAAAAGCATTTTTTAATGTCCAAATTCACCTTAAAAGTCTTCTGTTCCTAAAACATTTTTTCAAAGAACCATTTATAGGCATAAAAGGATAAAAATACCATTTGCCATCATATCATGACCAAGAATGAGAGGCGTTCTTGCCGCTGTAAGAAGCTGTCTCCGATTCATTTTAAGCATGCTGCTGAGCTGGGGCTGTCACAAAAGCCTCCCCTTCAGCAGGGAGAGACGCAAACCCCAGCTGTTTTACTGTCACAGCTCTTGTGTGCCTGCACTGCTCCGTCTCAAGTGTGTAACCCCGCTGAGCATCAAATGCTGCTCAGTGCTTAACACGGCTTGAGGAAGGTCAGTGGCACAGGGGAGTCAGTGTGTAAACACCAGCAAACACAGAACACTCAGGTGGATTCCTCGTCCCACATCCTCCAACACAAATGCCTCAGAGAAAGACAATCGCTTCTTTGCTTTAACACACAACATAGGATTTTATACATGTTCTCTTTAAAATATTCTTTTCATGGGATACAACAAAAATTGCACGTAAATACACCGAAAAATCCGCACCCATTTTGCAAAAGAGAGCTGAAGTTGGGTTTGGTATAATACATGAAATAAACTGTATGATGAAACTTCAGGTTTGAATTTTTGTCCTAAACATCTGGTCAAGATTTAGTGTTTGCCAGGATGAACACACAGGATTATTAACGCCAAACTGATATGGTCACATACACTGAAACTGCCAGAGGGAACCAGTGCTTAGCACAGAGCGAGCGATGCCGGAGGCAGACCCTGTCCAGCCAGGCCACCGCTGCTCCTTGCCCGAGCTTTGCTGCCACGCATACACTGCTCAGACAGAAGAGCTGCCTTCATCAGGCACAAGGGGAAATGGCCTTTTCTTGCTGTCCGGACTCAACCCACCACTCCATTAATTCCTAAAAACTAGTATCAATGAAATGCCAAACTTCTGCCAACCTGAACACTGTTAGGTTTCACCTCCCCTAAGTGCTGGAAGCTGTACTGGAGCAAAGAGCACACCCTGACCATTCCATGAAGGGAAAGTTTTTCTTAAAACAGGAGTGTTTAAATAGCCCACAAAGGGTGTGCTATTAAAAAGCAACTCAACCCTGTAACATCACAAGTGACCTGATGCTGGAAACTCTGATGAAGTGAGTGCCCTCCTTTTTCAAATTCTGTGCAGAGGCAAACATACATGGAATGTCTGTGGTCTGTACTGTTTCCTTGTGAGTGGCAGAATCTTCCACCCAACAAACCACAGCAGAGACTTCAGACACTTTGACTAATCCCTTACGAATTACCAGCACTCCTTGCAAATGACATTAAGTGAAATACAAGATCTAATTGAGGAGGAAAGTGTGTCTGTGCGGGCTGCTCTCTTCCTACACGTGGCATTTTCACTTCTTGCTAGGCTCAGGGCAGTGCACCCACCCAGTGTGAAAAGGTTTCTCTTTTCAGCTGTGCAGTTTGAAATACCCTTCAGGTATTCTCCACTCACAATATGATCAACCATCTACAGATGCCAGTAAGGAGCAACTGGAATAGTTATGTGAAATATGGGATTCAACAGTCACCACAATGGACCTTGAAAATAATACATGAAGCAAAATGGAGTGGAAACAAAACCGCAAATCAAAAGGGGGAAAATCCAGCTAAGTCCAGCGCTTGTCAGAGCTCCCACAGCAGGTTTACTTCCACAAAAATGCCCATTAGCCAGCCTGCTCCCATTTCTTCTTCCTTTATCCCTATGAAATCCTCCTGGTGTATTCTGCTTCAAACATATTCCCATATGGAATACCTCCAGTGCCCGTGTTGGTTTCAGACCCCATGCACCATATATTTATTAGTATCATAACGTTCTGGGATGCTTTAAACGGGCCAAAGCCTACCAAAGGAAGTGCATGGGTGAGAACTAAATTTTGCAAGGTCTTTTTTTTGTGGGAAGGGGGAAAAAATACTGCAGCTGATGTGGCTGTGAACGTGGCCTCAGCATTAGGACCAGAGCACATGGAGTTAAGTCTTTGTTTTGCAAGGATCACCTCTCCAGCAAAACGTGAAACCTGTTGGCTACCTCTCCCCTCCTTGTATATTGAATTTCCATTTTCACATTAAGGAAAAAGGAAGGAAGTAATGGTAGCTCTGTAAAACCAGTGCATCCCTCTACATAAACTCTCAATGATAAAAGGCTTATTCAAAGCCCTGTCAAACCCACAAAGAGAGGCTACCTTTTGTGACAGACACTGTTTTGACAATACGCAGCCCACTGTGGAAATTCAGTAACTGTGTTCTTAAAACGATGAATTTCTCAGTGGCCGGGACACTCACTAGTGCTCGCATGGCTGCAGGGGATGCTCCTGCCCCTAATAAACCTATCATTTGGTAAAGGGTTGCCCAGGATTAGCACAGCAGGCTTTTGATTCTTTGCACTGCAGTGAAAATACAGACGTGGTTCCTGATGACAGCTAGTCATCATTTGACAAAACCACTGAGTAACCAAATACATGACCAGAAGGGCAGATGAGAGGACAGAGGTGATCTCTCTCCACCGGTGTTGGGAAAATCATCAGATAAAGACATGCTAAAACCTGAACAGAAAATGAACCCAGCAAGAATGCCGATGTGATTTAACAATTTGAACAGTTCTGATATATTATCTTTTACTAAGGTGTTTTCTTGCAGAGCAAACATGCAGTATTTTTCCCCCTTGAGAAAAAAAGTAACCAGATTTTTTTTTTGTTCAAATTTTAAGTAATGAAGATGTTCCAATGCGAGTTACAGCAGCAGGAGGTTCGACCCTGTAATCAAACACTGCAGGTAAGATTGTGTTGCAATTTTTTTATATACATAACAGAAATAGCTGTTGTTCTTTGGAGGCAAAGAAATTCCCTTTCTTCAAACCCTGTGAAGAAGGAAATAAATTTCCCCATGTGCCCACTGCAGCAACATCCTTTTTAAACAAATGAATTGCCCTAGGAATCTCTTTCCAAGCTACACCCATGTCTTCACAGTCAGCAAGGAATTCCCTGCCCTCCTCCCAATGAACTCTGTTTGTTTGGTTGGTTTTTTAAATAAGGGGCAAAATACTGATAATAAAAATGTTATTGGAAACTGTTGTGATCTCCAAAAAAAATGGAGAAATGAAGTAAAACATTCCTGTCAGGAATCATGGAAACTCATTTCCTTAGAACAGAGCTCTGTTTGTTTGGATGCACTGCATGGGCAGTAAAGTCTTCACGTCCTTCTGCTTAGCCAAGGTAACCCCAAAGGTCCCGGAGGTCTTTACACAGCAGACAAGTGGTGAAGTTGCTGCTGCTTTGGGGGTGCCAGCTCCAGGAGCGCCTGGACAGTCACAGCTACCTGTGTCAAACCCTTCTCTTCTAAAATATGCAGAGGCAAACATAATTGCTCCTGAATGGGGAACAAAACAAAGACAAAAACAAAATGGATGAAAAACACTCAACTGAAAAGAAAAAAAAATTAAGCAAAAGGTGACTGAAATATGAAATGTTATGGACAGCCGGCACACACACACACACACAGAGGTATGGCATGAAACTCCTGCTTGTGACTAAAGAACCATGAACTTGACTCTCCAAGAAGGTGGCCTCAGGCTAATCCTTGTGTTAATTTATTAGAAAACTGTACGAATGAGAACTTGAAAAGGACTGTGGGAGGCATGGGGAATAGCAGATTGTTCTGTCTTGGCCCACACTGAAATGGCAGCAGCTTATGAAACCGACAGAAGATGAACCTCAAGAGGGAGAAAGCTTTCCCTCGCGTGACAAACCCACCACCACATGGAACCACGGCTTCCTTTCCAGAACAGGGAGTCCTCCTGTTTAGCTATCAAATGTGAGAGAGAGACATGCTTTAAAGCAGTAAATTGACCATTACCACTTATCGACCTCCCAGAAGTACACCCGCCTAGCAGGTTACCTCCAAAAGCATCCTGAGGAATGAGTAATACGCAAAATGCAAGAGAGGTTTAAAAGTGTTTATTAATAATTGTGCTATTCTCAGCCTAAGACGTATTTAAAGCCTCATCCTATGTAAGTCCTTGGCACATCCTGGCCATCCTCACTCCACAACAGTCAGTATACATGTCCAACAGTTCTCTGTATTTGTAGAAAATAACCAAAGTGTGTCCTTCCTATAGAACTATTTTTCACGTGTTATTTCCACAGCAACCTGCCTTTCTCCACTCTTTGAAGCTTTGCTGATTTTGGATGTTAAAGAAATCCTTTGGCATAAACAGCAGCAGCCAGCACTCCTCCCGCAAAGCTCAGGGCAGAGAGAGAACAAATGAACCCAGACTGAAATTCTCACAGTAAGCCATATGATCAGGCTGAAATACATTTTTCTTCCAGCAAATTTGTGTTATTTTGAAAAGAGTGTGCTTTTTGTGAAAATACTTGTAAACTTCAGCAAACATGCCTTATCTTTTTTCTTATGTATGCAAGCAAGTACGAGTAAAAGCTTTGGAATGACTCCATACCACAGTCAGTCATAACAAAATTTAAAAACTGGAAGGCACTGTTAGTGTAAAACCCCTTGCAGCTTTTATCACAGTGTTCATTAGAAGAAGTTAAAGAACATAGGAACTGAGTTCATTTTAGTTCATACCAGTAAGCAGTGCAAAAATAGCTCATTTAAAAATAAAACAATCTCCGCCCGTCAAAGGTACCCTCTTTGCTCAAAACTGCTTTGCTTGGACAGAACACTTTGTGTGATTTGGAAAGAGGGCAACAACTCCTCTACTTGCTCCTTTGTTAAATACTCACTTTGTTACAAGGGCTTGTGACATCCATGTACAAGTAACACGTTTTTACTGGTAGTGACCACAAGTGCAACTGAGCTCCTGTGTATCTTAGACTGTGCTTCAGAGCTGTTGCCAGGTTAATGTCGGAATGCTAACACCATTTACACTGGGCTTACAAGCCATTTACTGTATTTTCAAATGTAACAGAAATTTATAGAAAACACATTTGCCATTAAGCCATTTTATTTAACACTTACCTGTCACTGGTCTCTGAACAGAGTTCCCTGAATCAATCTACACTCTGAGGAGACATGGTCTTTTATACATCACATGGGGGAGAGCCCTAAAGTTATGAGTTGTCCCTGAGACATTAAAGCAATAAAGCACCAGGATGCTTTTCCTGGGGAGGGAAAAGCTTTGAAGCTTTAGGGAAGACAACCTGAGTTTTGTATAACAGTGAAGAGTCATTGTGCAACTGGGACTTGCATTTCTGCAATTGTATGATACAAAGGTTTCTGAAAATTACAGGATAGGAGGAAGAAGCATGGAACAAGCATGGGCTGGGCTGCCCACAATCAAGTAAAAACTCAAGAAGTTTTTAAGTTTTATCCAGAGCACAATAAAATGCAATGACATCCTGTGACATCTGACAGAATTCAAGGGATTTTTCCTTCTGTGCCAGAAAAAATTTATTTCAGAGTTGTTAAAGAGTGCAATTTCTTTGCAAATTTTCTCCTTGATCTGTTATGAAGCTCAAGTAGCTCAGGATTCACTGACAGTTATTTAACAAATCCTGACTCAGAGTAATACACCAGTCTACAAATACAAGAAATCGAATGCTCTCAGAAGCAGGATAAGGGGAAGGAAAAAGAAAAATAGCTACAAAGTCCTGTGGATAAAACTTACCAGACCATGTCTCCTAAGACTGTGAGATCTCATCAAGAACACTGATGTTGGGAAAAAAAACCCAAACAAACAACTTTGCCTTCTTTAACGTTTTTCATCAGATAAATTCTCAAGCAATTTACCAGGGTGGGTGCAATTCCCATTATACATGTGGGAAAACTGAGGCACAAACTGACACAGAGTTTTCCCAGTACTACATCACCTGTTGGCAGACTATAGCACGCACCCACACATCCTAACCTCTGTGCCTCACTCTAGCCCACAGACAGCACTTCCTCCCTTGTCACCTGCTAAATATGACACAGCAAATACAAATGTGGATTATGTCACAGATGGTCGTGTGGGTGCACGAATGTGTTCACACTTTGTACTTGTCTCCTCTGTCCCATCAGTGGGAAAGAAAGCACTTCATACACACAGTCTTGACAAAAACCAAAATCCTCTCCCAAGCACTGGAGTAACAGAGGGAGGAAGCGGCAACACTATCCTTCAGCTAGAGAAAAAAGACCCAGCGATAGAACATACAGAGTGTTAGCATTAGAGTACAGTAAAACACCACAAAGCCCCAGAGCTGAATGGAAAGGGAGACAAGACTGGATTCTTCTGAATCTGTCCCCAGGGAAAGAAGAGTCTCAACTGTTCTTTTAACGCTGAGGTTTAGCTGAAGAATGTCAGAAGGGGAACAAAGATTGTCCTGTCCAGAGTGTGTGAGCAGGAAGGGAAAACAGACAGAAAAAAAAAGGTCAGTCAGTTAGCCATAGCAACATCCATGAAGCAGTCAGTTATCAGACATCTCAGATACAGCCTACATAGTCAAGAAGTATACCACAGCTGGTTAATTTGCACAAAGGAATCTGCAAGACTCCGATTGCAAAGAACATACCTAATGCAAATATTTAGTGTTTGGTGAGGTGCCTGTCACCTGTATGGCTTAAACATGTAACTATTCTTTGTTGTTAAAACCAGCAGTTTTACACATGCCTCAGTGAAAACCATTCTTCTCCAGGGGAGGTTTCTGAGATGCTGCTGGCACTGGGCACTCACCAAAGCTAAATCTCGATATGTACCTTAGTTAATGAAAACAGTAGGACAAGTGATTTTTTTATGCTTGAATGTGGTAGCCTGCCAAAATATCAATTACTAATTAGAGTTTAAGTGTTCTGCAACTGTTCCCACTGTGTATCTTTTCCCTCCCTTTCACCCAGGTAATCAGTGTAAATCAGTGAAATCTAGATGCACAGATCAATCTGTTCAACTTCCAGGTTCTTTTGATGCAAGGGCTTTAACTAGCAAAGTTCTATAAAGAACTGTTCCACTGCGGAGCCTGTAATTACAATTTTCTAAAAGTAGTCTTCCTCTTAGTATTTCTACACAGATTGATACTTTCAGAAAGCCTTTTATTTTTGTAATTAGATGTTAAATGAAAGGAAATACCTGCAGGCATCTTTTCAAGAAAAACATGCTAAGCTGTCAGGCCATTCTTGCATACACATATCGTATATTCATATCTCAGCAGCTATGCAACATAGACATGTGAGAGCAACTTTAGAGTTCAGGTGGGGCTATTTCAGTAAGCTTCCCCAGCAACACTCTGCTTGAACTCTTCCACATTAAAGCAAGAAATATGAGAAAACCAGGAGGGTCCTGGACAGTAGGTGCAGCAGATATAGCAGGCTGGGTCTGCAGGGGACTTTTTCTTCAGTGGCGTTTTCATTTGTTTTTAAATGTGGGTCATTTCAGTGATCTGCTCTGTATGGCAACCCCATGAAAATCACATCTGCATATTTGAGGGAGTTATAAATAGGGAAGCTGGGATGGAATTGAACAATTTTGCCCCAGACAAATTTATACTGGGCAGTTCTGCTGGGAGTAAAAGTCTGAAGTTTCTTAGGGTACCAAAATAGTGCAGGATCTCAAAGTGCTAATGATCACTTACAGCTCCCTACCACGTTCCAAGGCAGCTTACCACTGAGTCATGTGAAATTGCCAGGCATTTGATAAATATGCTATCCTAAAAGCCCCACGGTTCAAATGCCTGCAAGGGACATTATCTGAACACACCAAAAAATACTGCATGGCTGACTTGAGAACAGTGGTTTTAGAAATAACTGGGAAATGAGCCCCTGGGTCTATTTTCTCCCTTTCACAATACAAAAGAAAGAAAACAACACCTACAACAGAAACACTAATGCTGAGCAATTAAGAAACAAAATCAAATAATGCACTAGAAGAAAAATTAAGAAAAACATGATGTATCAAAGTTATTTGTGCTGACACAGCTGCTAAGACAAAGTGGAAAGGACAGGATAGCATAAAATAGGATAACTGGAGTCAGATGGACTATTTTATGTTCCCACCTCCTAGATCTTCCAAGCTGCAGAATGGGACAAGGAATACCAGAAGATAGAATTCTACCACTGGTACATAACAAAAGAATTAGGATCTATGCAAAGATAGCTACCATAAGAGAAAGGCCAGTAATACTGTGACTTGTTGGTAAGACAGTAAAGGCATTTGTGTAAAAGAATTATTCTGAAAGAACATGAAAAGCTTTGGGATAAAAATAAAACATGCAAAACGTCATCCAAATTTAATCCCACTTTTAAGCTGTCAAATATCTAATCTTGAGAAGGTGTAACTGTGGTTATAGAAATACCTTGCAATTCTAAAGGCAGACTTGAACTGCATCACTATTACGAATTTGAAGCACAGCAGTAAGTGAATAAGACCTCTGATAAACTAAATCTGACTTCATTTAGCTCTGCAAGATAATGCAAGCTAAGTCTGATCTGTACCACAACACATAGCTTATACCTGAACCTTCTAAGCTTTTAATAATTTTTTTTCATCCAATCTTTCAAAGAAGGTTTTATGTTCTGAAGCATCATACAAAACTGCACCTAAAACATTACATCAGGATAGCAAAAATACGTACCTGAGGCACTCCAATCCTTCTGCAAGCTTCCAAGAAATTCTCCACATTTCGTCTGCATTTTGCCATTGTGAGCTTAGGCTGTAAAGAATTAAAGGAGGCAAGCATCGTGTTTGTCATTGGTAGGATTTAAAAAGATCTTAATAAATTCTTAATAAATCTCTTTGCCAAAAACACACTGCATGGACATAAGCTTGTCTAATTCAAAGCAGGCTCTGTTGAAGTTTGCTTTTCTTTAGAATTAAAAAAAAAAGACAATTCTAAGCTGTGCAGTATTTAGATACAAGGTGTTACATAAAACTGGCCAACACCTTTAGTGACCACAGTATGGTAACTTTAAAAATATACTTTGAATGAAACACACATGCATGGCTTCCATGCTGTGATTTCAGAGCAATTTCATGATATGAAGCAATTTGGAGTCTGTTCTGGATTACTACAATACAAAAATATATTAAATATCAAACCATGTTTCAAATAACAAAGAGATTTAAAAAAAATAAAATAAAAATAGGCTATTAGATGTAACCAGAACATAACGGGAGAAAACTAGGATTGAAGCTTGCTGCTTGTAAGCCTCTTGTAGATGTGTTTGATGTAACTGTTTAAATTGCACTCACCAGCATTTTTTCAAGCAAGCTTTTTTCTAGTTAGCTTTCACACCTCTACACAGACATACCATGGCACAGGCTCTGTCTTGTTTCTATTTTTGAAGCTTATTCTTTTCTGGTTAGAGACACAAGCTTTCTGCTCCTTTGAAAAAGGTACCCCCAGTCTCTACAGCAGCAAGAAGCAGCCTCTGAGAGTTCAATCCTTTTCCACAAGTGGTGGAGTTTCTGCTCTGCTCCCTCAATGTGCTGTATTTCCCCATCAAGAAAGCAGGTTAAAGGCTAGTGCTGACTTCTTTCACCCAACAGACAAAGGGAATACAAAGATCACACTGTAACTGAGAAATGACATGATGCCTCTTCAGCTCCTGCAGCCATGCAGCTAACGGCTGCCTCTTCCTTGGGATTAATATGACAAAGCCATGATTTAATTCCTAACACACAATATGCAACAGCACATAAAATCAGGCCATTGAAAAGATATTCTCAGTGACATAAGTCTTCTGAATAGTGGCAGTATGCCTTTTCTCTTAATTATTCCACAATCTGCCTAAAACGTTGGCATGTCAGTTCAATCATTCTCAAAGTAATGAAGACATCTGCTTATTCACATTGAGTCCAAGGGAGAGTAACCACAATGATACAGTAGGCAGCCCTATAAGTGCCCGTTCAAATTCCAGCCAACACAATGATAGACTCCAAAAAAAGGAAAAGCTAACATAACATGCATATTTCAACTTCCCACAGGAACAAGCTCTAGTTTTTTTTTCCTTATTCATACAATTTAAAGGTGCATAACAAGCAATCTGCTGTTCCTACTACTTTTAAGTAGCTGGCCCTAAGTATTTTCACTGAACTTTCTAACTTCCACAAATATAGATTAGGTAAATGATCTGCTGTTATTTCCCAGTTCTTGACCTTTCTCTAATTCTGTGCTTTCCC